TTCCCTCTCAGCTGCTTCTTTCCTCTTCAGGCACAAAGACATGATCTCTCCACAGCGATTCTGCCCACTGATAAACACTAGCGACTGATATGTTTCACTGAGGAACAAAGGGCAGGACTGAGGGACCAGCTTCCAGGCTGCTCCAGCCTTTGTCAGTCTGCTGAGTCAGGAAAGGCATTTCAGTACTCAGCAGGACACGAAATACAGACAGGGGCTGTATTCAACAGCCTTTTGGGGCTCTCCAGTTAAGGATGGGAGACACACATGGGAACAGCTTAGAAGGAAGCCTAAAGAGAACATGAAAGGAATAAAATTGACTAAATATATAACCCAAACAGAAACAAGAGTTTTTAGCTTAAAAGAGGAAGGCCAACGATATGTGAAGCTAACTGGGGACTTGCTTTTGCCATCAGTTACATAGCAGATGCTCAGACATTAACTTTGTTGGGAGCAGGATAAAACCCAAAGAGAATTAAATACTTTAAGGCCTAAAGAGCCATTAGGTCATCAAGTCTGACCTCCACGTGTAGCACGTGTTCCAGAATTTCACCAAATCATTCCTACATTAAGCTCAATTTTTCTTCCAGAAAGGAATCCACTTTGTAAGAAAAGGGTGTTGGAGTGCCATAATTCGGGAGGGTAAGGCATGCATCAGGTGTGGCTTTCTTGGGACCAAGAGAGAAGAGGAATGACACAGGCTCCCACACCATGGGTTGTAGCCATGCCTCACCCAGCTGCTCAGCCCCTGTATTGCAACTCTGGCCTCATCTGATCCCCCGTATTGCAATAAGCAGAGACGTTGGTATTGAGAAATCAGTGTCCCACCATGACCTGGCAGCACTTAGCAGTGAAATACAGCAGAAGCTGCCAAAAAACCTTACAATATTCTCACCAAAAATTTTCAAAAAAGACATTAGAAACAAAAAGCTTTTATTTTAAAAGAAGAAAGAAAAAAGCCAGCATTTAAATCCTCTTGCCTCATAACTGAGCCCAGGGTTATGCCACAATTCAGGTAAATTATGTTTATATAACTGGCATTTGGCTGAATGCATAATTCCTATTTAACAGCTGAAGAGAGGCATTTTGGGTCTTCAAAGAAATCTGACAGGTAATTCCCACTGTAGTTCTGCAGGGTAGCTGAGAGGTAATTATCCTTCTCACTAGTAAATCAATTAGGAATGAATGTATGGAAAGCTTTTCCCCTCCTCCAAGTAACTGCTAATCCTCTAAGCACTAATGAGCAGACAAGGCTAGCAACAGTGTGCAAACCCATCAAAAATCGACAGGAGCTGCAAAGCACGCAGCATCCAATCAGTACCTGGGAGCTAATGCCTCAGAAGAAATATCTTGCCTGGAAAGAGTCTGCACGATTCACTGTGTGTGCACAGGCCCTGTGCATGTGTTACTTTTGGTATCTCCCTCCCCATTTATTGCCTCAAAAAAAGACCTATTTTTGAGGCTCACAAGAGATCACTGCATGGCGTTCAACTAGCCAGCACGTGTGCTGTTAGAGGTGAAACACAAGGGATCTGGACTTTCTCTATTGGGGTGCAATTGATTCACCTACTGTTTTGTGATTCGTTATTGGTGGTTGTCCTCAGGAGCTCAGCAAAAACATGATGCTTACTCTCTGCAGGCCACTGTAACAATATTCACCCAGAGCGACTTGGAGAAGATTACAACCCAAGTGCATTTTTTGCAGTGCACAACCTCATGAATCTGTAAGGCGTGGGTGGACAATAAACCTGATATTGAATTTGACAGATCCCAGATGCTCCAATCCAGTGACACCTTCTCCAGGCATTTTTCAAACACTGCATGGATGTTTGGAATTGCTTTGATGGTCAACAAAGCACAGTCAGCTCTGGGTTCAGATAAACCAGCAGTTTAACCATGCACAGCAACAGTACCCATATATTTAGCAGAGGTAGAAAGAATGAAAACAAGTTGTTCCCGCAGCAGCCAGCACTGAAGCTGGTTTCCTACGGGTTTTCCTTACAGCTCATCTCTCCATTTCAAAAGATTTTTCAGAAGGGAGGAGAAGAGGGAAGACAGACAGATAAGTCCAGAAATCATTTCCTTGAGACATAAGACCAAAACAAATTTAAAAATTGTCATCTGAAATAAGAAAACGACAGGTAAAGACTGGTCTGCATGCCACAATATGATGAAATGTAGGTGTTATTAATAAAAAAGAGAGAAAAGACTGCTAATCTGTAAAGCTCAATAGCTTGAGAAATTGCTAGAAGATAATCATATATCCTAGCACTCCGATTTGTGAGGGAGACTTTACACCAGTGACATAGGATTTGTAACGGAGCATATTGCCTCCGATTTTGGGTGGGCAGAGTTGCTTTGGAAACCGAATGAGGAAGAATTAACTCTTCAGTGCCCACCATACTGGATATGGGAGGGGTGTGAAGGCCAGGAGAGCTCATTACAAAACATCTTCATTCCATTTTGCTCAAAAAAAAGAAGTCAAAGGAGTTTTCACGAGAATTCAGCTTCTGCATCAGAAAAAATATAAGCTGACCCCTGCCCACAGCATTCTTTCTCTCCTCTATAGATCCAAACACACATATATTGTTGCCAATAGTAATCAGAGCTATGACTGCCTTAAGGTTGCATACACTGAAATAAACATCAATCCTGAAACCTCTGCAGACTGACCAGTGATGGAAAACACAATAGCAGTAATAAGAACAGTACAAGTAGCAAAATACTAGTTTGGAAACCTATTGATGGAGACAGGAGAGGGGCAGTTTGGAAGTGATCAAGCAGAATGGGCTGCACCCCATCCAAACACAACTCCACTGCCAGCAATTAGCTATGTGCTGCAGCCCTCCCACATTGATTTATGTGGGTAGCTGAAAGTGTCTTTGTCCCACTACCTCCCTTGAATCAACACAGGCAATAATTTTAAACCAAAAAGGCACTGAGTAGTAACTCCTGCGCTGTGCTCTGTGAGCCAGCTGCAGCCCTAATTGCATCACGTGGGAAGCATGAGCAGGGGGTTTGAAAGCTATGACCTCATCTTCTCTCCTACACATTCAAATCAAATCTTAGGTCTCCCACCCACTCTCCCAGGCATATTCTCCTTTCAGCCCCCCATGATGTAACCAATGAAAATGTCATTTACATCTTTACCTCCAACTTCTAGCTAGGGGAAGCATAAAGGGGAAAAGAGTCAAATACAGAAATAAATACCTTTTACTCAGTATTTCTAATAATAAGGAAACAGAGAAGGCAGGGAGAGGTGTATTAGCCAAAGCCAGTGTAAGCAAGAGTCCCAGAAACATTTGTGTGAGTTCAGCTTCTTTAAAGGTGTAACAATCAGAAGCAAATAAAAGCAATCCTTTTATTTCTCTAACATATTTTTTTTTCTATCACAAAGCCAGGCATAATTCTACTGAATTCCATGGAATTGCACTAGTGCAACTCAGACAGCAAATTCAAGCTCTTGTGAATTACCAACTGATTTCACTTTAGGATCATAATTCCTCTCAGAATGAACAGTAATTTTGTTTCTATAGCTACCAGCTCCACGGCTCTCCCTTACCTTCCTCTTGTTAGTGGGACTGACATAAAGGTAGCTCAGCACGGTCTTCAGGCCTACTTTGTCATTTAGCTTTTCATAGGTAGTGCCATAGTCTGTTGACCTGGAGAAAAGAGGAGACAAAAAGAATTTATGTGGTTATTAGAGCTCAGGGGAAGGAAACGACTGTGTGAACAGATGCTCAAAGTTACAGCTTGAGCATTATTACCCTTAAAACTTAAGGTTTTGTGTTTTCATTCAGGGTAGCCAGCAGAAAAGAGAAGAAAATTTGAGTTCTTTGGGGCAGGGCCTGTCTCTGCATCAATTGATCCTATGCACCTGGGGAGCTATGGTGCAACTGTGAAGATGGACTTTAGGGGAGGCTCTGCTCTCATGTGCCAGTGTGGGACGGCAAATGGTATCTATGTGAGAGGAGACTGATCTCAGCAGCACCCTTAGCACAAATTCTCTTTCAGACAAACCTAACAGAAGAATCCAAATTAAACCCATCAGAAACAGTTTTATTTAAGTAGGCTGATTTTTGACTTGGAGATAGGGATCCAAATGCGGCTCAGAATTGTAACAGCTGAACTCATGTCTAGATAAAAGTGTACCTAAACTGGCATCTTGAGTCCTCAGTCACCCCCATCCTACTTTGTGCCAGGCATTTAATTTTTCTGAGTTACAGAGACAGATTCAGGCCCCTACACTAGCAAATCCCACCCGGAGGAGCAGATGATCTGGGGGTGGCATTACCCGTTCGTGACTGGGGAAAAGGGCTGCTTCGTCACAGAGGGTTTTCTGTAGCTTCCTCCTCCTCATTTGTGGGCATGTTTGAAACCTCACTTTGCCCTGCTTGTTTATCTGCTGTTTTCATACTCTGCTTTTCCTAACAGTTTTTTTCATACCAGAACAAATCAACAGCTACCTAGCACAGGATCCCACACTTCAAGAGTGGTCAGCACCAGCTTGCTTTAGGAGAGGTGTCACAACCTGCATGAAAAGCCCACCCACCTCACCCGAACAGTGGGGAGAGCCTAGCTCCTGACTCTACACAGCTTCTATCATACGGACAGAGCAAACACAATCATTATCAGGTGGACAAGGAAAGACCCTCACAAAAAGCCTACCTGGACATAGCTATGATTTTATTAAGGTGAGAATTCATGGCCCCTGCCCTCCTCTCTAATCATGCTTTTTACTAAACAGGTGATTAGAGAACATGTAGCAAATTCAGTGCCTTTCCCAGTAACTAGCTCCAGGAATTCTCTGACTTTCTAAGCTCAGCAAGCCTCCAGCATCCGCAGCTTTGAGGTTCTGCCTGAGACCAATCCTCTGCTCCTTGTCTGTCTGGCAGAGAAATGGCCCAAGTCACCCTTCTGGCATCACAATGAACAGTGCCGCTGCACCCAGCGGCTCCAGGCTCCCACTCAAGTGGCTGCAGAAACTGAGCAATGCCAGAATCTGCATCCAGCTCCGCTGGTTTCCTTTGCTGCTAGTGGAGTCCAGAATGACACCGAAAAGGCCATGCCGCAAAACCAGATGGCTGGTTTCAGGCTTCCAAGTAGTAGGACCCATGAAGTCAAAAGCTTGTTTTATCACTGATGTGGCTCCAACACATTTGCTTCTGTGCATCTTTCAAGCACAATTCCTAAATGTTTTGCAAACTGGTTCCTCCTTAAATGGGTTGAACCAACCTTCCTCCCTTGAACACACAGCAGTCAGGGGTGCTTCAAGTCTTAAACAACTTCCTTGTGTTCTGGTTTAGCTATACTAAAATAGAGCTAATACTAGCTCTATTTACACTTCATACTCTGTTGTACTAATGCATAATATTGATACTCACTGGACTTCACAGAGACGTCCCAAAGGATATTACAATAATGCACTGTATTTCCATAGCACTTTCCCATCCAAAGAATCTGAAGGTCTTGCCTCGCTAGGTATCAATGCCACACAAAAAAACAAGCAGCTTTCCTCCTCCAGCCAAACTTGAAACTGAAGCAGCTCAATTAATAAAACTGAATAATCCAGGCCAATTAATTCCACTATACGAGGCCTCCTATACATGCAAATTCAACAGGTCAGGAATCCTCAAATAACACTAAGCTCTAAGCAGAGGGTAACACACAGAGGGCAAGCACTGAGGTACTTCCTTGATCTCACCCTTCCAACATCACTAGAGCTCTGAACAAGCCACATTCAGGACTACACATGTACCATCCACCACCCA